CAAAAATCACTAATCCAAGGTGCCACTAAGAGTATGATAAGATGTGACAACACTTTTGAAAACAACAAAAAATTAAAAAAAATCAAATTTAACAAAACCTTCAGACCCAACTACCAATTCTTGGGAAAACAGAGAGGATGTAGGAACATGTTAAGAACCTACATAAAGAACAAAAGAAGAAAAGAGTTTTTGAAAAAGGAAATTAGCTGAGCCAGGTGGCTGGTGCCTGTATCTCAGGACTGAGGAGACTGATCTCTGTAAGTTTCAGCCAGCTTGGCATGTGAGAACCTCTCAAAAATACGATAAAACTAAACAAAAAACATGATGGCTAAGAAGCCCTAGGTTATCAAACAGCCAATGAGTTGCCCCATCAGTTAAAGAATCCACTCAAGTGACCCCTCCTGTGTGTTACGACACTAGGACTCAGTCTGACTGCCGGGACAATTGCTTAGGACAAACCTTATTAGAAATACTGAGTGTCAGTTGCCTACAAGCCCCACCCCTCCCTTCCGGTCTGCTCTGGACCTCACTGAACGGCCCGTGCTCCCACCTCTCAGCAAGCCCTCCTTGGGGAACCTACACTTAACTCCTGTCTCCTACCTCTTTGGTCAAACCCAGAGGAAATAGAATGTCCTTTTAACATGGAGCTTCTCTGTCTACTCTAAATTGAAACAGCCACTCCCTTCTCTCTAGTCCTGCTTGTTCCCGTCTTAGTCAAATTTAATTTTAGAATAAAACAAAACATAATTTTATAATCAATCAGAAAAAAAAATAGTACCTGGGGTTTTTTCTTATGTCATCCAACTGGCCAACCACATGAGAAACATTGGTACGAATCATTTTAAAAGCGATTTCTTCTTCTCCCATTATTTCAAACCTAATTGTCAAACATATTTAAAGAGTTTTTGGAAATGAAACACAAAATTTCAATAGGAAAAGCATTCTTAAAAACTTTATCGAAGCCAGGCGGTGGTAGCACACACCTTTAATCCCAGTTCTAGGAAGGCAGAGGCAGGAAGATCTCTATGAGTTCAAGGCCAGCCTGGTCTACAAAGTGAGTTCCAGGACAGTCAGGACTATACATAGATACACACAGAGAAACCCTGTCTTGAAAAGCAAAAGAAAAAAAAAAAGAAAGAAAGAAAGGAAAAAGAAAAAAACCAAAAAACCTTGAGTGGACCCAACATGCACAGAAATGACCAAATCTTTTAAGAGGACAACAGGGAACCTCACATGACCCTTGAATGAATGCACAATTAATAAGACACTGTAAAGGTGCAAACATGCCAGCATGACCTTCAGAACCGTCCGAAGCCGGACAAAGATGATTTATACTCACCTATATTTGTTCTTGTCTTTATACGCTTTATGGATTTTGTCAGTTACTGGTTTACAGTTGGTGACAAGACTTTTAGTGACTGGTGGCTATGAGAGAATACAAGCGGGTCAGACAGTCCACCAAGGACAAGACAAGAAGAGCAAGTGAGGCACTAGCATTGGGTGCTGAATGTAAGGGTCACCAAGAGTTTATGGGACTAAGGACATATTGAAGGGCAATGGCTCAGGGGCCCAGCACAAGCTATATCCTAGCCGTGGGGTACACATATCTGAGAAGACAAGCAATGAGCTGGCAACCGAGAGTGCCTACTTCCCCTCTTGAGGGGAAAGGCGTGTTCAAGTCCTTGATAACTAGTAGCAATTTAGTTACCTTGACAAACATGTGAATGACAAACTAATTACCCATCCTTGGCCTAATGAAGCAGTTAATTATTTTTGTTTTCTTAGACAGCCTCTTCCTCTGAAGTCCTGGCTGACCTGGACTTACTAAGGAGACCCAAGCTGATTTTAAAGTTGTGATTCTCCCACTTCTGCCTCTCATGTGGTAGATTACATGCCATGTGCCACAAGGCCTGGCTTAAGCAGAATTAAAAACAAACAAATAAATTACAACAGGTGACTAACCTGTAAATGCCTTTGACTATATTAGCTTTCACAGAATTGGTATGACTAAATCTAGGAAAACTTCGAAAAAGAATTATTATTTTAAAACTCTGCTGAGAATTTCTTTAGCCTGCATAATTTAACTTCTATGTTTTAAAAATGATTTTATCCTCTCCAGAGGCAGAAAATGACTACTGATTACACACATACCCTTTCACTGATTATAGACATCTGTGAACCAGCTGTAACAGAAGTTACAGCTGTAAACCAACATGTAGGTACTGAACCCTGGTCCTCCACGAGAACAAAAGATGCTCTTAACCACTGAGCCACCTCTCCCTCCAGAAAAATTTTAATAGAATTTTATTCTGATTATGAAATCAAAAGATATTCATTGTACAAAATATGAAAACATAAGTAGACAATACTAAAAAACTATCTGTGATTTAATATGCCTTTTGAGGTATGTATATTCTGGTATTCAAGTAGGGGTGGATAATATTAGGGAATTTTTGATAATTCAGGCCATAGTGTGTGCTTCCCATTTCCCTCTTCATCCAATTGATTTTCTAAGCATTTCCCCATATATCATATGTATAACTTACAAAAACAAGTTAAATAGTGTATGCTGTATGCCCTTTCATCAATTCTGAGGTGCACATATTTGCACATCTCTGAAATGGGGACATCTCTTACAGGTAACAATTAGTTAAGAAGTGACGTTGCCACAGGTGTGTGGAGCTCATCCGTCATCCCCCACAAAGCCCAGGAGGGGCCAGCAGCACCCTGTCTGACATATTTCTATGGAGTGCTCTTTCCAAGAGAGTTCTTGGGTTACTTGCTGCTACCCTCGGTCACTAGAGTGTCTATTTATGGAATCCAACCAATCTAAAAATGAACTTACGTATTCAGAGTGGGGAAGGCTTCCCAAGAAAGATGTAAGTGATTGTGTATTATCTGTGCTGCCATGTTGCCTCTGGTTTGGATGTGCTACACAGAATGGTGGAGAGGCATCTGATAAGGGTTACCATGAAACTTACCAGATTGGGATCGTAGTATGCTTCCTGAGTTGGTGGGATATTGTTCAGTTGAGTGATATTAGCAGGAAGCATTTTTGAGCAGTTTATTAACATGTGTTCCAAACCTGTCAAATCCTAACCAAAGCAAAATATAAATCTGTTATATATACTATACATAAAAAAGCTGGTTTAAAAATAAAAAATATGTGCATACAAGTAACATTATATAGACTGGGTAGGTTGTATTTATGCCACCAATGCCCAGCTGTATTTAGAAATATATATACGTATGTGTGTGTGTGTGTGTGTGTGTGTGTGTGTGTGTGCGCGCGCGTGTCTAACAACAATTAATGGAAAGGGAGGTACATGGAAGGATCTGGAGGGTGGAAAGGGAAGGGGGAAATGACATGATTATATTATAATCTCAAAAAATAAAAGGGAATCCAGGCGTTGCTGGCACACGCCTTTAATCCCAACACTTGGGAGGCAGAGGTAGGCGGATTTCTGTGAGTTCGAGGCCAGCCTGGTCTACAGAGCGAGTGCCAGGATAGGCTCCAAAGCTACACAGAGAAACCCTGTCTTGAAAAACCAAAAAGAAAATAAATAAATAAATAAATAAATAAATAAATAAATGGGAAAAACATAATAAAAAGTATATAAGAGTCTCTAAGTGGCTATTCTAAATGACTCAAAAGCAATAGCATTCTTAAGTATAAAATAGAAACATTTCAAAAGAGCAAAATAAGACAACACAATATTACATCCTCATCTGAACTAGAAGGTGAGTGAAGTTGGTGAGACACCCATTTTTATAAGGTGGTCCAGGCTCACAGGGAATGATGCAGCACAACTCAATTCATTTTAACATCTCCCTACTTGAGTTTTGCATTTCTAAGGACCACAGGAGGACTTGACGGAGATCTCCAGTCCACAGCACCCCATCCCCTGAATGAACTTGTCACGAGGATCATGTGCAGGTATCTACCACCTGGCTCTCCCCTCGGAGATTAATACATGATTTCCCCAATGCAAGACCACAAAACACAAGTTTCACATATTTTAGTCCTGGCACTAATAAACGGATGAGTTGCTAGCCTATATGTTAAATATTCAGAATTATCTTTACTTGAAATGCAGTAGAAAAAGAGGTGCTATCAGAATTATTTTCCACTCAATATGTTACAAGCTTAAGGTTGAAACGATACATTACCTGCAAGCTTAAAGGCAGATCATGAATCCTGGTAGCCAGTGTTCGGATTTCTCTATCAGACAAGACACCAGATTGGTCTGTATCTACTTCATCAAATACTTGAGAAATATTCAGGGGCTGAACTGCACTCATGAGATAATAGAAATATGAGAAGGCAAACTGCATGTCCTCAGAGTGGCGCACCTTGTGAAATGATGTCTTGTCAAATTCTTCAGGGAACCTGTCCAGAGATAACATGTAAAGAGCTTTGGATATTCTGGGTACATACAGTATTGGATGTTTATGAAAACGCAAGTTTGTCTTCACATCTTATTTATATGGCATCTTTGACTCATCAGATACGAAGGCCACAGCTCATCAGGGCAAATATACAAATGTCAAGCACACAGGCAGGCACACAAGCACAACTGAGACTTACATATCTTGTAGTTCTTGCATAACAATTCTGTCAATCATATGTGGCATATGTGCAGGGACTTTCCTGGATGTGAATCCAAACTTGCTGTTTAGAATTTTATTGACGTATCGGAGGGAGTCTGCAAACGTATCTTTTAATTGCCGCCCGGTATGTTTGCTATCAGTAAAGTATGCCAATTGTGTCTTCAATGACTCTTCCTCCTAAAATGAGAATTACATGTAACAAACACTGTGCCATGCACCGTGTTACACAATGTGATGACTGCTCACTAACAGTCCTCAAGGTTAGTGACTCCATGCTGTGAGGTCACTCTAAGGATCTTAGGGAAAGCACTGGCTTGAGAATAACAGTGACATAACAGGCCTATTGGGTGTGCCTTAAAAACTAGTTATAGAATACTAGCCAATTCAATACAACATTTAGAAAAACTGCTTACATACAGATTGTATAGTGGTGGTAACAAAAGAGCATGTATTTGAGTTCTAGGTATGACTAAAAGAAACTGAGCTCCACTATATGATAGAAACCAAAACCAGTTAGGCAGAACTGTACAGGCAAAGAAAACCGGCAAAGAATGTGAACATACTTTAATAGAATAAGTTTTTTTTGCTTCACAAACTGAAGAAAATGTGGAAGAATGACCCTGACTAGTGCTGTTTAGTGTATGGAGGAGCAAGCATTCCTGTGTACCATTGGGAGTATGAAGTAGTGCCACGTTTTAGGACATAAAGTCTACGAGGACGAAACCTAGCAATTCTGCTGATGGAAATAAAAAGGTAAGCATAAGATAATGTGGAAGAACCTGTTGAAGTGCTGTAGTTGTAAAATACTGGAAAGGTCCAGCTGCTAGAGGAGCAAGGGCGCTGCCAAGGGCTACTTTCTCACAGGCACCGAATTGGAGGTAACCACAGGGAATGTGTGGATGGCGTGCAACCACCATTGCAGGACAGAAACTGCATAGGTGGCGTGTTTATGCACTTCAAGAAAAGACGGGAAGGGCGGCCATTTATCAAGTCACAAGGAAGAAGATTCAAAAAGATCTTCCCTTTTTATGGCAGATCTTTGTACTGCTTGAAAATTGCAGTAGTCTACAGTCATGAAAAGCAACACCAGTGAGAACTGCCACTTTCCACTCAATTAGTAAATGCCCAGTGTGCAAGGCAAAAAGATGCCTCCAAAAGGGCTGAGAGGGACAAGCACAGGGCCCACTTCATGCTCTTTTTCTTCACTGTCCGTCCTTGACCATGCGACTTTTCTTAGTCTGTCAACTCCGGCCCATCTAGGGTCAGCTCACAGGGTGTGGCTCCTGAGACCAGTTCCCTTGGGACTCCTGACTCATGACTCAACAGAAATGCCACATAGCCACAACTATCAGCTTTATTTCAATTTGTCCTCCTTAGTGGCCTCTAGTCTTCCTGAGAAGTGACTGTGTTTGTATTCTCCAGTGTTCATCACTGTGGCAGCCCCTTCAGGGAAAATGACACCATAGCATAGTGTAGGCCACATGTGACACAAGGGACAAGAGCCCCGGTTCTGAGGTTTGGCTTACAGGGCTGGTTGTGCTGATGGTGGAAATGTCAATGGACTTATCTGAACCTCAGGTTTCTGGGCAGTAAAGCTGGGATAGAATCAGAATTGCAAGCCAAGGAGACAGGATGTCCCTGCTGTTCCTCCATGTTCCCAGCCTCCACCCCAGCTAAAACGCTTACTCAGTAAGGACCATTTCCTAGACTGCAAAAGTATGTGGCATGTTTATAATTAGGGTAATTGAGGAAATTAAATGAAACCAGTCAAGATAAGCACTTACTTCGGTGTGGTCACAGGAAAGTGCTTGACAAATGGTAGTTAGTATTATATTACCACTTACAAAGTTAGTTATGTTCCTGCGCATGACAAAGAATAAGGCTGGATCTAACTTACATCAAGAAGGTCTTGGAAATATTTTTTTTTCTCCCAGGGCAAAAAGCCTGGGTAACTCTCTGTGTAGTGCTGCAGCCTCCTTCCAGGCACTACCTCATTTACAGCTATGTGATTGTCAGCTTTGCCCTCCACTCTGCCTCTTTCCTCTTCATTCCCTTTGAGCTCTTCTTTGGGTGCACTCATGCCTAGTGCATGTTGGGTCTGAGTTTCCAAAGTAGGTCTTGCATCAGCCTCCAAGACTGGAGGTGGATTTAAATCATGGTCACGGCCATTCGAGTTCACTGTCCCCACTGGGGACATCCATGTCTCTGATCTCTGACCAGCAACAACGTCACCTGGGCTTCCATGAGAGAGCTTTTCCTGTGGGACCTCCAAATTGTCATTTGTTTGGTCCATCTTTCTGGCTGGAGGTTTTACTTTACTATCTGCTGAGTTCCCCAGGAAAGACTTCAGCAGGGCTGACTTGGATAAATTGTATCCTTTTAGAGTGATGTCTCCAAGTTCCAATTGCAGATCCAACTTGCTCAGTCTCACTTGGGCCTCTTTTGGAAGGAGTGAAATATTTACCAGGGGGATTTTTACCTCCTCTTGGAATCTCCCTGTTGTGTTTATGTCATGTTTCCTGACCTTGGGGAAGCGTTTCCCTTTGGGAACATCTTCAAAAGAGATTTCAGCTTGGGGAAGAGGTGTCACTGGGCTAACCACATTTTCATAGGCCTTCTGAGTTGTAGAATTTAGCTTTGGCACCTCCCTTGTGTCCACCTCTACCGTTATCTGGATTTTGAACTCTTGATCATTTGCATTTTGGAGTGTGAGATTAAAGTATATCATGGTTGCATTCATTCCACTGTGTAGTATGAGGTGTATGGTTTTCCACTTGTTTGCAATGGATGCATGTCGGATTATTGGATTGTCACTGTAGGCACCTTCGATTCCTCTTTTGGCTATTTTTGCAAAGCTGAAATAAGACAGGTGTTCACCTTTGGGGATAACATAGTGAGTCTGGTTTGGGAGAAGAGTTACTTTATACAATTCATGAAAATGATCTAGAGGAAAAAACACAAACATGGTTTCTTAGACATTTTTACTGCCTTCCCTTAATTCTCTGGGTTCAAGTTCTTATTTTCTAAGGTGACTTTAAATTTATTTTAAAATGCTCAAAAATTGTAATACAAGGTTTGGGACTATGGCTCATTTTACCATTTGAGCTGACCACAGCAGTTTACATGGAACATTAACCCTGACTCACTATAGAGATGCTCATGAATTTCAATTAATAAATTTCAATGGCTAATTTCCAACTTTTCGCCCATTTGAGGATACTTTAAGTAATGACAACCATCGAGTGTTTCCTCTATTAGTGGAGTTAGCCTTTTGTTTCTAATGTTTTCATGGCAATACATATACCTTGTCCACAGTCACCAGCATCAAATCCACAGGACAAGACGTTGCAGGCTTGGTCACAGAACTTATCGGCGAGCCAGGAATTCGCACACCCTTGGTTACAGTAAGAGACACTATTTATTCCTCCACCGAACTGCCAGGGCTGTCCAACTCCAATATTCCCGGTACCCCCACCTCCTGCGACATAGCGACTCCCTCCACTGTTACCTGTAGAGGGAGAAGGAAGGAAGAGTCTTTACTAGACTTACAACTGTGAAAGAAGACAGCTCATCATTCCTTACAAATGTGTGCAAGGCTGATGCATGGATTGCCACTACAGAGGCTCATCCTATTCCTTATCATGAATACTCCCTGTGTCTTAAGGGAAGGGAGTTCACCTAGAAGGGTACAGGCAGTGGTGATTAAGACAGATAGGGCAAAGCTGGAGGAGGGAAAAGAGATTATTCCAAGGACCATGACTCAGAATTCCCCAAACCATGTCAAGACACAGGTAGTAACTAGGTCTAGTTATATAGCTGTGTTCTCTCCTTGCAGCTGCCTATATTTTATAACAGGGCACCTGAAAGAAGGCTAAAACAGCCTTGACACTTTGTTTCCTCTAATATTCAACACATTTCCAAGTCCATTTCCTCATCTAGACCACCAAGGTGATAACATCTGTGCACACTCCCTTTCTCGGAGCCCAAAAATCAAAACGGTTATAAATAATGTTCTAGGCCAGGCAGTGATGGTGCATGCCTTTAATCCCAGGACTTGGAAGGCAGAGGCAGGCAGGTATCTGTGAGTTCGAGGCCAGCCTGGTCTATAGAGCCAGTTCTAGGAGAGGCTCCAAAGCTACAGAGAAATCCCGTCTCAAAACAGATAAATAAAGTTCTAGAATTTAGTGCTTTATGAACTGAAAGTAATAAGTAAACACATTTTAAAAAGTGTCAACATAAAAGTCCAAAGGTGAATGGGGGAGCTGAAGAGACATTCATTCTGCAACTCTGATTATTTCACAGCCTACTGTAGCTTCCCCCGAAAGTTACTGCCATGGATTCTTATAGAACCAGTTGGAATGATCCTTGGGTTAACATAATTAAGAGTATTCTAGAAACTTTAAACAATAACAAAAGATATTTTTAAATGCAGAGCCTACAGAGAAATCCATTCAGTAATGGATACTGTGAATAAACCGAGTCACATGGGATGTATGGGTTAGGAAATCAGCTGCACATATTCTTAGGATTAAGGATGCAAAAATGAACAAGTCACATTTAAACGTCCTTACCGGAGCAATCACCACCATCCCAGTCACAGGCTGAATTGTTACAGGCCTTGTCACAGTAGCCATCTTTAATCCAGGAGCCCGGGCAGCCCTCAGCACAATTGGGCACAGGCCATGTCAAATAAACCTGTGATAAAATCAAAGAGGAAATACAGCAATTTCTGACACTTTTCGCTCTTGAATTAAAATATCTTTAGATAAAAATTGGGTTTCCAAACTTTCTCAAAGACTGGCTACTGCTATTCCACATTGCCAACACCCACTGTAGAGTTAAACCTGCTGAGCATGGCTCTTCTTTCCCAGTTGCTTCAGAGAACAAGGACTTGGATCATGGGTTAGTTTTACTAACATGATCTTATAATCTACTTCTAAATAAAATAGGCATGTGTCAGACTTACATGTGAATACAAAGACATGGCAAGGCAGGAAGGGGCTCTTCCACAAGTCACTCTTTGGCCATGACACTTACTAGTCACCTGAGCTTTTCTGCATAATCCCCCAAGGCTCAGGGAAGGAGAAGGTGAATGCCAGGAGCCACTATCTCCAGGCTAAGGCTGTGCTTAGGCAAATTAATTCCTACGACATTCTGAGCTCCCAAAGTGAGCTATGTGACACATGTTTACTCTCTAAATTCACTAAAGATAAATATACCCCTTCCTTTTTAAAGTCATAGCTCCTTTGCACATTACACTTATTCAGAATGTATTTTTTTAAATCTAAACTGGAACTAGAGCCTGTCAATGACTAGAGTGTGCTCTATGGTAGAGTAAGTAGTTTGTTTGGCTCTATGGTAGAGTAAGTACTTTTCTAGCATATATGAGTTCCTGGGGCTGATCCCCAGCACAGCAAACAAACAAACAAATCCAGTTCAATTCAGAGAGGTCTCCCCATCCCACCTGATTTAAACCTTCAGTGTTCTACCCTTCCCCATAGCACAGCCTGAGCCAGACAGCTCACCTTACATGAAATTTCACCCACCCCCTTATTTAAGCTAATTGTGTATGTAGGTCATTTTGCTGTCACTCACTCTAGCTGCAATTCTGTTGCAAAGTGGGTTTGCTATAGTGGAAAATATAAAGGTTCAAGGAGGAAAAGGGGGGTCATGTTCATCAGAGGCTGCAGGAAAGCAATATCCCACTGTGGTTTTCTTACTCTTAATCCAGACTCTCCTGAGATAGGGAGTCACAAATGCAGACTTGTTAATACTCGCACATAGAAATGTATACAGGGACACATGAGGAAATGCATTTCCTCATCTACTACTGATTTTCCAGCTAGGTGCCCACCCATCTTAGCACTTACCTTTTGACCTTTGGAGTGACTGTAAAAATCATCTGGCCAAACATCCTTACCAAACATAACGTCATCATTTAGATAAATGAACTTCTGTGACAGCCCCTCGATGCGATGAATGTGACTTTCAATAGCAGGTGAACTGAAAGTGGGCAAGTGGCTCAAATTCCGGAAAATGTCCTTTAACAGAGAGCACATTCATAAGGTAAATGTGAGCTGTTTTGATCTGGCTGGGCATTTAGAAAGAGGGAAGGGAAGAGACTGTGGTAATTCAAAGAAAGTAGACATGGAGGTAGAGAAGGTGAGGGCAATGAAATGATGAGATCACTGTACCACACTGAAGGCACAGATAGGAAACCACAGCCTTGGGCTATTTGCAAAGTCACACACCTGGTGGGTTACTATCGTCACTCGAGGGTTGTCAAGGTTCAGCCAGGAAGGAATCTGCCCGTTGGTGACAATGAAAATATTCCGAACCCATGGTGCATGTCTTTCGATAGATCGCAATGAGTATCTCAGCTCTTCGTTATCTTCAAAACGGCTGGCAGACACATCTTCATCCTGCTTGGACTGGGAGATGAGAGAGATGTTTGGCACACAAAGACATGAAGTAAGTATCTGCATGAAACCCTAGCTCTTCCTCCTTGTCTTTACCCTCTGCTCTGTTCTCAGGGGAAATATGTCTATGCCAACCTGACACAAGCTGGAGTCATCTGAAAGGAGGGAACCTCAACTGAGACAATGCCTCCATAAGATCAGGCTATAGGCAAGTATGTTGGGCATTTTCTTAATTAGTGATGGGTGGGGGAGGGCTCAGCCCATTGTGAATGGTGCCATCCCTGGGCTGGTGGTCCTGAATTCTATAAGAAAGCAGGCTGAGCAAGACATGGGGAGCAAGCCAGTAAGCAGCACCCCCTCCACGGCTGCTGTATCAGTTCCTGCCCTGCTTGAGTTTCTATCCTGACTTCCTTCAATGAAGAACAGTGCTGTGGAAGTTTAAGCTGAATAAATCCTCTCCTCCCCAAGTTGCTTTGGTCACAGTATTTCATCACAGCATAAGAAACCCTAACTAAGATAGGGGCTCTGGCTAACCTTTAAAATTCAAGTGTGTGTGTGTGTGTGTGTGTGTGTGTGTGTGTGTGTGTGAGAGAGAGAGAGAGAGAGAGAGAGAGAGAGAGAGAGAGAGAGAGAGAATATACCATCTTCTTTATTATTATACTTTACATAAAGGGTCTTAGATTCCATTGGTCTTGCAGGTCTGGAGCTTACTACCTAGACCAGGCTGTCCCCTAAATCACAAAAATTTGCCTGCTTCTACCTTTAGAGTGCTGGAATTAAAGTCATGTGCCATCTAGTCTGACCAAAGCTTTATTTTATATTTATGAGTAACTCTTGAGTGTATATGTACGTGGGAGTCCTTGGAGGCCAGAGAAGGTGTGACAGAGCCTTGAAGCTGGAGTTATAGGAAGTTATAAGCCATACAGCGTTGAGTGCTGAAACCAAACTTGGGTCTTCTGGAAGAACAGCAAGTGTTCTTAACAACTGAGCCATCTCTCCAGCCTTGTTCTTTTCAATAAGTATCAAAACAATGGTAGAAAATGGAAGTTTAGAAAAATCCTAATGCAGTCACTTCTCAGTAAGTCCTTTTTCTTCTACTAAATTGACATATAGGTATTTAGCATTCTATTTCTTCAGCCCATTGTTCTTCTAGCTGAGCTATTCTGGCAATGGCAAACACTCTGAATTCTTGACCTGCGCTGTAGAGATCTATCTATGCCCCTTCCTTGAGCTGTGGAGGTCTACACCCATTACCTGACTGATTGCACTCAGGTCCCACAACAGATACGCAGGGCTGATGGTCAGCTCTTTCCCATTGATGGTCATGTTCTTCTTGGTTTGCTTGTTTAGCTCTTGGAAACCTTTGGGGTTATTCAATTTTAGAAGAGCAACACTGGCCTCCGAATACAACTGCAACTGATAGATAACAAAGATACACATGGGCACACTGGACCTCAAGGAATAAACACAGATTTTCATTTTTTTGAAACAGTTTATTTTATTTTATTTTATCTTCGGTTTTTCGAGGCAGGGTTTCTCTGTATAGGTTCGAAGCCTATCCTGGCACTCGCTGCTCTGGAGACCAGGCTGGTCTAGAACTCACAGAGATCCACCTGCCTCTGCCTCCTGAGTGCTGGGATTAAAGGCGTGTGCCACCAACGCCCTACTGAAACAGTTTTAAGAATCTAGGATGGGGTTCGTCACGTTGCTGCTGAGAGTCATCTGACAAAAGTGACATGCTTGCCGGACCGAGTTTGGTGCCGGGATCCAAACACGAACACCCAGAGGCAGCCCTGTCTCCATCCGCCAGCCCAAGTAGGCCAGGAGCTGTTTCCGGTTCCTGTTCATCGTCCTTGCTCAGAGTCATCTGACACAAGCAACCTGTGCGCCAGACTGAGTCGGGGGCGGGATCCAACACACTGAGGCCCGGTGACAGCTCTGCCTCCAACTGCCGCCTGCCCGGCAGCCCGCACGCCCAAACACTGCAGATGCCTGGGTAACAGTGACACCTCCATCCATGAGAAGAATACTGACATTAGAGTATTGGATCTGTTTACATCTACCAGAAGAG